GAGGAGGGAGGAGGGAGGAGGGAGGAGGGAGGAGGGAGGAGGGAGGGAGGAAGAGGAGGAAGGAGGAGGAGGAGGAGGAAGAGTATTTTCCCCAGGGGATGAAACACGCATTTGCTTAACAAACCTCGAGCCTCCTCCTCGCGGGCGGCCGCGCGCTGCCGCGGGGCCTCCAGGTCTGGCAGCAAGCCCTTCTCCTACGGGCGGAGGTAGACCGCCCGCTGCTGAGGCTGCTGTGCGACAAGCATTCGCCCCTACTCCACAGCACTTAAGATGTGAAGCACAACACCTGGGGCTCGATTCGACTGTGGATGCAGACCCCTCAGCATCCGGCTAAGCCGGCACCGAGAGGCAGACGACTCGGGACAGCTTCGGCACCACTTCTCGAGGAAGCCACTGCGGCGATCCTGGCTGTAAGCACCGCAGCGTCGGCAAAACACGAGATAGTCCAGACGATAGTCTAGTAAAGACAAGGTCGTGGCCATGCTGTGAATCATCATGCAGAAACTTAAAGTTAGCACGCCTACCAGGGCATCCACGCATGTCGAGACGTACGGCAGTAGCGTTGCACACGCGCTTATGGCAATCATGACATATGAATGTGCCGCGCGCGCCAGGCAAAGCCATCCAAGCGTGCCAACGATCAGCGCCCGCGTGCCTAGGCCTCTGGACCCTCTGCTTTTCAACTGGGTAAACGGAAACGGGGGAAGGACAGCCCCGACGGCTCGGGCCTTCACGACCAGGGCGTCAACATCAGCCAAAAGATCGGGACCCCCTTAGGGGTGCATGTAAATCGCGTCCTTAGCGCATTTATCTGCTAAAAGCTCCCACGTGCAATCCCACGCTCGTCGTCGGGCAACGCATCGATTTCACCTGCGCTGCGATGGGCCTTAGCGTGGCTAGCAGCACCTACATACTGCGCACCTTAACGCTGTAAGAATCCACGACGCAGTCCAGCATACTTAGACTTGCCGCGCACCTGCTGTGCCGCGGTCTGGTTGCGAAGCCTAACCACGCCTAGACAATCAGAGCGCACGGCAATCACCCCACGAAGAAGGAAGGCAAGGGCACGCACCGCCATCTGCTCTCCTGCCTGGGGGTCCGTGGGAGGCTCGGCCAAACGGGCCCGCGAAAGCGAGCCGCGACCTCCTCCGAGTCGGGTGCAAGAAACACCCCCGCATAGGCAGCCCTTGACAATCCCCGAATCGGGGAACGAGCGCACGAACCGTCGACCACGGCGTCCGAGGCCCCCTCGAGGACCGAAGCTCGAGTCAAGGGCTGCCCGCGCGGGCCCAGAAGCTCAGGGCGCAGCCTGTCGGCAGGAGGAGGGAGGACACACGAGGGGTGCCAGAAGACAAGCCTAGTCCACAGCAGGTCAGACACACCGGCATCATGCGCCTCGCGGATCACATCCTCAGACACCATCCCCCCTCTCGCCTCTCGAACTTCGGGGCGCTGACAACGCCGGAGTCTGCGGCGCAAACTGTCTGCTGCACCGCGCAGAGGACACTGTGAGTCGACATCATATCCAGCATTGTACATCCTATCATTCGTATAGAAAGCCTTGGTGAAGACTGAAGCGATCGCGCCGAGGAGTGAACTTCCCACTGGAACACACGAATGCACGCACAAGGTGAACACATACACGCTTGTCACGTCGCTCATTCGTGCCACTGACCAACATGCACGTGTCGCGCTCGTGTCTACGCCGCACACTTTCACGGAGTAAAGAGCGCACCATAGTAGGATATGTGTAAAGCAAAGATAACTCAACTCCTCGGTCATCGAAACATTATTAGGCTGCCTTCCTATGCGCTGCGAACAGAGGACCACGCGAGTAATCGGCTCCCTGGATCGACGCCATGTGCAATGTTCATCGAGCTTGCGACCCATCACTGCGTACATTCGCGCAAGCTCCTGCACCGTGAACAACGCGCGGTCAGGTGCAACAGCGGCCCTCCATACAGCACTCGCCCACATCATAGCTGGTGCCACACTTGCACCAGCCATGAGATCGCCATGAAGCACACACTTGGACACCAAAGAAGCTCCTCGATGTTTCGGCGCACGAGAACTTAAAAGCGCAGCTCGAGCTCGCTTAAGTTCATGATCTGACATGCCCGGCGCTGCACTGCCGCATGCTAGCGCTGGTTTCAAACCCGCAGAGTGGATAATGCCCATCTGGTGCTTTCCGTGAATCAACCATCTGCGAAAACCCAGAACTCGAGAGCGCCGAAGTTTGAAAGATGGAACCGTTCAAGTCGTTGTCGAAAGGCCTTCGGAGCACCCCTAGCTTGCCCAGGAGCGAAATCAACCCCCAAATTGAGCGACGCATTCGTGGCGGAGACTGCGGGGAGACCGCGGCGACGAAGTGAACGGCTAAGGCTGCTGCTAACGACGGGCTGCTTGCGACCGTGGTAGCTTGCTCTCGATTCCGAAATCTGGGCTCGAAGGTCATGCCTAAACATATCATGACAATCAGCTGCTGCATCAGTGCGACTCGAAGTAGTGGTCGCCTATCACCTAAAGCCATGATCGCGTCACCATCGACATGCGAAGATAAGCGGACCGACGAATCCTGTCACCTGCTCACCAAGTTGTCGAAAACACCGATGGCATACACCTTGACAAAAGCGTCGTTAAAGATGTCGCCAGCTTGCAGGCCACTCGCGGCAGACAGCGCCACGGGATGAAGAGACGTGCCCAGACATACAAGCCGAGGAGATCGCCAGAGGTTGGACATCGTCTTGACTATTACCCCTGGGGGCTCCCCACTGATATGCCCGAGTCCTCAAAAGCTGCAGATCGAAAGACTCATGCTATTTCACTGGGCCCCCATGAAGACCTGATCTTGAGACGACGCAGCGCGGGAGACGGCAACCTGAGCCCAGACGCAGGACTCTGCGCTCTTGCCTGCGCCAAAGGCCCAGTGCGCTCTCTCAGTAGAGGCAAAAAAGGGCGTCTGACTGTGGGCGTCGCAATCGCCCCCATACTCTCACAAAACTGGCCGGCAACAGGATGGCACGATGACCACCAACAAGCTTGTCGATAGGTGGAAAAAAACACATCCACCTGAAATGCCCCGGGGACATGCCACAAGCTTTTCTACCGCCTCGCAAATGGCACTCAGGGCGAACACGCCAGCATCCCCAAGGGGAGATGCGCCTCGGATGAAACCCATCCAAAGTAGAAGCCGCGAAGCTAGAAAAACTGCGCGGTGCCCATCGAATCTCATCCACTGAAGCTCGGGGGAAACATTCACGATCTGGCACTGCGGCGGCGGGCACCTGGACGGTAGCTCGCCTGTGTCTTCAAAGACTCGACCTCTGCATCCAATGCTGCGCCTGGACTGCTCGAGAGGATGCCCGGCGCCTTCTCAACCGCGGTCGGGCACCACTGCTGCTAAAGGCGAGTAGTCTTGTGCATTAACTTCGCTGATCCTTTCAGCGCCTCATCACACCATTCGTTCCAAGAAATCGTGCGTCGCTTTAACGATCTGCTCGGTGGCCATGTCAAACTCAGCTCGTAGCTGATCTCGAAGACATGTAGTTCTCGGCCACCATGGCGAAAAGGCACGAGCTGCGAGTCTTATTGCGCAGGGTAAGCACATATCAGTCATCGAAGGGATTGGACATAAGAATCAAGCCGAACATCCGAACATTCACCTGGGTAGACTTCAGACAAACATGCCTGCTTCGGATTAAGCGCAGCTTCGTGCGCACTCAAGTCAGGAGCGTCTGCAGCCATCGCCTCAAACTCGTGCCACACTCGATGAAGCCACTGCCATCCTCGGCACACTTGTAGATCATCCTTCGCATTGTTCTTCTTGCCAAAGACAGGCGCCCATCGACGAGCGAGGAAATGGCGTCGGGTCGGCCGCGAGATGGGGAGATCCAAGGTCGCCGCCACCTTCCGCTCAGCGTCACCAAGAAAGACGGTCCAAGCACTATGAAGCTGCGCCCATGCTGCCGCGGCCGCATCACGCGAAGCAGCCCGCGTCGCCGCTTCAGCCAGCTCCAAGGCAGCATGAAAAGGACGAGGCTCAGGTCTCGGTCCAACAGGTGGGTTGACGGGCACT